CATCCATGTGGGGTGATGTCCTTAACTCCATGGCAACTGTATTGGCTAGTAGTTGAAATCCCAAGCCAGATCACCTGGTTCTAATGCCCACTTCCTGACTGTGTGACCTTGGGCAAGTCACTTAACCTTCCTAAGTCTGAGATTCCCTGTCTGTGAAGAAGATGATCAGAGCATCTCCTTTGTGGGTCTGTATTAAAGGTATGAGAGTCCACGCCTCTAAAGCACTTAACACAGTGCTTGCTCATGGCAAACACTCAAGATGTGGTGACTCTAATATCCCTCCCCACCCATATACCTAGAGGTCCCAAGTTGGAAGCTCTCATTATGTGACTGAAGCTAAGTCTCTTGACCTTGATCTCAGTTTTCTCACCTGTAAAATGGTGCCAGGTAATTCTCAAATAAGACAATCCTGCCGTTGACAGTTTGTATCAAATAACTGATTATATAAGTTAATGGTGTGTCAATGGTAAGGTCTGGACACAGGGCAGGATGTAAACACACACACACACACACAACAGCTTTGTTCCCTGAATGCAGATGGTAGGAAAGAAAAAGGAAAGAAAGATATGTGTATAATCCAGTTTGTATTATCCTTGCTATATTGGACACAGATCTCTTCAGAGTCCTTCCATTACTACCTTTTTCCCAAAAACCCTGGTCTGGAACTTGCTATAAAGGACAAGATGTTGTTCCTTATGCTTTGCAGCACCAAGACAGAGACGCAGGGACTTCCCTGGTGATCCAGTGGCTAAGACTCTGCTCCCTATGCCAGGGACCCAGGTTTGATCCCTGGCCAGGGAACTAGATCCCACATGCCGCAACTAAGAGCTTGCACGCTATAACTTAAAAAAGATCCCCAAAAACTCCTGCATGCTACAACTAAGAGCCAGAACAGCCAAATAAATAAATTAATTTAAAAACAAAAAGAGAGAGAGAGCATTTATTTGGCTTCTTTGGATTTGTTGTGAGGTGATGCAGAAGGCTGCCAGTTTCAAGCAAGTCGCAGAGCAGGACAGGCCACTGCAGCAGGTCCAGGCTACAGATAACCTGTCCCACCTCTTGGGCCTCAGGATCCAGCCTGGGCAATAGTGCTAGAAGTCCCTGTGGTAGATAAGGATGCTGAGTGGAAAGCTCTGTTGGGGAAATGCAGCACATACCCTGGGGTTCTGGAACAAAGTCATGCCCTCTGTGACAAAGAATTACAGCTGAAAAACAGCTATTGGTTTGATATTGGGCCTTACTCGAGACTGAGTGCCTGACCAATGGGCACCAAGTGACCATTCAACCTGAACTGCTTATTCATAAATCTGAATGGTATCTGACCCACGAGCCCTCAAGTTGGACAGGCAAAACAACTAATCCATTTGGCAATGGACATGATACCTCTGGACCAGGCTTGAACTGGCAAACTGTATGAGCAGGTGGTCCAAGACTGCCAATCTCCTGCCTCTATGGCTACTGATTTTTCTTGAACCTCATTTATGACCTCATGCATACCCGTTAAATTGCCTCAGTCATGTCCGACTCTATGTGGCCCTATAGACTGTAGCCTGCCAGGCTCCTCTGTCCATGGAATTCTCCAGGCAAGAATACTGCAGTGGGTTGCCATGTCCTCCTCCAGGGGATCTTCCCAACCCAGGGATCGAACTGGTGTCTCTTACATCTACCTGCATTAGCAGGCGTGTTCTTTACCAGCAGTGCCGCCTGGGAAGCCCTTATGACCACACAGGGGTTCCCTTGTAACCAGCTGACAGATGTGCCAGGATGACCTGTTGGGAGTAGCATCAATGTGGTCTCACACAGAGTGTCCCTGACGAACAGTGCTAAAGGGAAATCCTCCCAAGGGTCAGAACTGCAGCATACATCAGTCATCCACTTTGCGCATAGGGAAAGACGGTCCAGAGTAAGAATGGGCATGGACTACTAGGGAGTAACAAATGACTTGGTTAGATGGTCAGGAATGTCTGGGACATCTCTTAGTACTTCCATGACTGGTGATGGGGCTTCCCAGGTGGCTCAGTGACAAAGAATCCACCTACCAATGCAGGAGATACAGGAAATGAGCCTTCAAACCCTGGATCAGGAAGAGCCCCTAGAGGAGCAAATGGGTTGATATGAGGTCGCAAAGAGTTGGATATGACTGAGTGACTAAGCGTGCACACACGCCTAGTGAGTACTGTTACTGAGTAGCTACAACAACCAACAGGGCAGGGCAACTAGGGCATCTACACCTCTGGGGAATGAAGGTCTGAATCACCCCGCCAGAAAACAATCCGGGCCAGATGAAATGCTAAGTGAAGGTGGGGGCATCTAGAAGGAGTAGCAGAGGAGGGAGATAATGACTATCAAGCAGTTTTTGCATTAGTCACAACTATGAGGATTGTAGCTTTTTTCATGAATCCTCTCACATCAGTCTTTGAGAAAGACACCCTTGACCTCCACCTGGAAGGGGGCTATGTGATTGATTGTAGTTTCCTTCTTGGAGAGTAAGGATGTCTCTGTTTGTGCAGAACAAACATAAGCCCTATCTTGGAGTATAAGATTTGTACATACTGAGAAGGCTCAAGGGGTAGACTGTGTGGGACACAAAAGTTGCACACCTCCTTAGATCCTTCCTTGGCTGCCTGCCTCCCAAACCACTTCCACTTTTATCAGAGCCCTGTTTTGTGACCTGAGCTGACAAGAGTCCAAGTTGATGGCCTAGGATTGCATGGTCTTCACACCCCACTTGTTGAACCTGTGTCCTGAGTCACCCCTCCATTTCTGGTTAATATGAAACACCACACCATGGACCATGGGTCTGGCTTCCAGAGTGGATATCAAGGGGGAGCGCATGAGGTCTCTAAGTTCCTGTGAGACCATCTTGACTAACAGGAAGTGGGAAGCATGAGTAAAAATAAGTTCCTCCTCCTTTCCCCCCTCTGTGGGTTACTCGTGCATGTGTGTGTGTGTGTGTGTTAGCTGTTCAGTAGTGTCTAACTTTTGTGACCCCATGAACTGCAGACCACCAGGCTCCTCTGCCCATGGAATTCTCCAGGCAAGAATACTGGAGTGAATTCCCATTCCTTTCTCTGGAGGATCTCCCTGACCCAGGGTTCCTCTAAGGTGTGGTTTCATCTTGTGCTCTGTCTGGAGAAAGTCCTCAAGTGAAAATGCTTGTCAAACAGGTGGATGTTTCTCTTTTCAGCTCATTTTGAGGATCTTATCCCAAGAGGTCAAGAGGAGGGAAATGACTTGCCAACAGGCACCTAAGGGAGATTGTGGTGGCTTAGTGGTACTACGAGAGCCCACCTCAGAGGCTCCTAATCTAGCCATGTGTGTGCATGTGTGTGTGTATACAGGGTTGGGACATCAGAAGAGGGGACTGAGCTGAGCTGTGGAGGATGAGCAGGGTTGAAGAAGTTGGGGAAAGGTATTTCTAGAAGAAGGACGAGCATGCTCAACTTCATGGAAGAAGGAAATGGGGTGGAGCAGGGGCTGTATGGTTGGAATGGAAGCTGGCTCAGGGGCTGCCAGCAGTGGTTTACCTAGTTGGAGGGTGCCAGAGCCAGAGTGCATGCTGCCTTGCACTGGAGAAGGACTCTGGAGTCTTGATTTAGCCTGCAGAGCTACTTCCCTAACACCTCTGAGAAGTAAACATGACCCCCAGCATCACTGCTGGCCCAGTCACACCCACACTCCAAGGCCTCGCCTCCTCCTGAGCTGCCTGATCCCTCCTCCCTTCCTTTAAAATTGTTGCCTTAGGGAATTTCCTGGTGGCCCAGTGGCTGAGACTCTGGGCTTCCAATGCTGGAGGCCCTGGTTCCATTCAGGTCAGTGAACTAGATTCCATATGCCGCTACCAAGAGTTTGCATGCCCCAACTAAAGATCCCACATGCCACAACAAAGATAGACGATCCCACATGCTACAGCTGAGAGCTGGTACAGCCAAAAAAATAAATATTAAAACAGAACAAAACAAAAAAACCTGTTGCCTTAGCCTTGATCCATCCTTTTTCTCTCTGGACTCTTAGCACCAAGAACAGTGCCTGGCACATAGTCACGGACTGTTGGCCTAAATCACAGTGAAGTTAGTCAAAGAAGATCTAGTTTTTAGTCTCAGTTCTGCCATGAACACCTGAGACACTGAAAGACCCAAGCCAAGGCACTTAACTTCTCTGAGCTTCAGTTTACCCATCTGGAAAATGGGGATAATGTTCCTCCATCTCCTCTTCATTAGTGAGGATCACAAGACAGAAATGGGATTGGTCCTCTAGGGTGGCAGGAGACGCAAGCCCACTGCAGATTTAAGACATCAGCCTGGAAGTCATTAATAACAACTGCTGATAGTTTTGCTGCTAATAATGACCTGCTTAATTGAAGGAAATCCCCTCTCCCTTCCTCCAGGATGGCTGGTTTTGTCCTAACCCAGTTCCATTACCTGCTTGAAGATGAAGCCAAGCTTCCTCCTCCATACCCCCTTGTCTCACAGGTTTCATAAGACCTCAGAAGGTCCTTCAAAAGTCTGACCCACATTCTTCCTGTTGCAGCTCTGCCCCCTCCCCTTCTCGTGTGTCCTAAGAGCAAAGTCCTGCGTATGAATCTTCGACGAACCTGAAACCCTTCACATTATAAGGCTTATTCTTCTGAAGTTGATGTTCCCACTGCCACTGCTAATAGAGAGAGAGAGCAGAGAGAGGGTGAGGAAGGGAAGCCCCAGTCTGGAGCGAGGGCGTGTAGAATCAGGAGGGATGGAGATAAGACAGCAGCACACCCAGACACACAATGACACAAATACCACACCACCACCACCTCCAGCGCCTGGCTTCCGGGGGAGGGACAATTGTCTTACGGCTTTCCATGACGTGAGTCCTCTGCGAAAGCTAGGGCTGTGGGTGAGGCGACATTTCCTGCCCCAGGGGGCTGGGGTGAGAGGAGAGATGAGTTGCTGAGTATGCACACCTTTTGAGAGCCCATACACACACACCCTGCTCCAGGGGCTCCTTTCTCAGGCTGCCCCATGGAGTTCCCCCTGGCCCAGATATGCCCCCAAGGTAAGTGTGAAGTTGGAGAATGTGGGTGGGAGGGAACCTCAAGACCCCCACGAGCCCTGCTCTCCTCCTCTCTGGGCCTAAGCTCCCACTTCGAGGGTGAGGGGCCACACCCTGGCCACACGCCTTGCCGCGCTCCAGCAAGGCTGACTGGCAGGAGACCCAAAGCCCCTGGTCCTCCTCCTCGGGTGGCTCCACTTCCATGCAGCCCTGAGGATAAAGGGGACAGGGTCTGCGAGAGCTTCTTCGACAGGAGAGAGGAGGAAGCAGGAGGATGAAGTGGGGTGGGAGGCAGAGGAGCCTGGGCCAGAAGCGGGACCTGCACTGAGGAGATCTGCCTCCATTCCGGGATTCCGGAACTTCTGGGCCAGCTGGCTTCCCTGCGCTCCTCCCTGGGCCCAATTTCCCTGACAGCCCTCTGTCCCCTCAGCCCTCTACGCCTCCTGGGCTCCTTACGCCTCCTTCCTGAGAAATAATCTCTGCATCCCTCCTGCATTTCTCCTGCTGTCAAGACTGTGCCTGTCCTTCAGGTCCCCGATGAGTGGACTGCCGGGGCAGCGGGGGAAGTGGAGGGCCTGAGCCTGAGCCTCGGGGAATGGTGGGCGGCAGAGAGAGACGCAGGCCCTGACTGAGAAACCTCTCTGTGCTAACAGGGAGTCGAGAAGCCCCCGCCATAACCTTCAGCACCTTCCAGCCCCTGAACTTGAACCGCAGGAGCTGCCAGGGCCCGGGCTTGCTTCTGGGACCACGACTCCAGGCCCCCGAGGGAGCCTGGCCCAGCCTCAGGGGCCCAGCTGTCCAGGCTGTGGTGAGTGGAAACCTGGGGGGTGCTTCCTCCTCTACTCCCACCTCCCACGGGGGTGGGCCTGCAGGTGGACAAAGGCCAAAGCAGGAATGAGCAGGGGCTGCCGACATGGCTGGGGGCCCAGAGGAAGGGAAAGGAGATGAGGAGAACCTCCTTCAGTGGCTGAATGGCCCACTCGCTACTCCTCTGTCCCTGGGAAGCTCAGGGCGATTCCATAAGTGATGGGTACAGTGATTGAAGTTCCAGAAGGAGGCATCTACATCCCTGTCCGTGGCCTTCGTTTGACCACACTCATCTCAATCCCCCTCACCCATCCGGTCAGTAGGAAACCCTCCCTACGAACTAGCTTGGTCCCTCCTACGGTAGGGTGAGCCCTCCCTCGTTGGCCTCTAGAGTTCCCTTCATCCCTCAGGCCAGGGAAAGCTTTTCTGTCCATCTGGAAGGCCTCACTCGCATTGAAGCACAGTTAAACAGCTCACTGCTACTGGAATAAAGGCCCACAGGACCCGGAGGGAAGTGGAAGGAAATTCCCCTGGAAACAAAAACAGCTTGAGCTAAACAAGTCAGACTTTGGGAAGGACTTTCTGGGAAATGATACCCTAAAATAGGCAACTAGAACGGGGACAGGGAGCTTTCTCCACAAGTTGAAGAGCGGGTAGGTGTAAGGATAAGGAGGCGGCCACTGACTTAGAATCACGGCTACCTCTCCCCTCCTTGAACCCTTCTCTTATGCAGGCACCTCTCCAGGCCCCAGGAGCTGCCTGCAATCCAAAGGATGTTGGGAGGGAGGAGGTGCCAAGGGAAGAAGCTCTGATCCTACAGGCTGAGACTCGGGCTTGGTTCCAGAAGACCCAGGCCCATGAGCTCCTACAGCATGGGGCGGCCCCCATCTGGTTCCACGGTTTCATCACCCGGAGGTGAGTCACAGAGGAAGAAACAGGCTCAGAGCAGGGCAGGGGCCAGTCCTGGGCCCTGCCATCAATCAGTAGATTGAGGCTACAAGCCAGGCTATGACTCCTGCAGGTTCTGAGGCTACTTGCTAAGGCAGCTCTCCTGGGGGAGATCACCGAAGAGGCACAAGCCCAAACCCCCTACCCCGTGCCTCCACTTTCCTCCTGTCTCTAAGGCTTCTAGTGCTCATTCTCCACCTCGGCCTCCATCTCTCTCCCTCCATATCTCCCTCCATCTTTACCTCGGGCTTCCTCCAGCCCTCTCCTGTCTTCCCTCCCTTGCAGTTCCTCCCTTCTCCTCCACTTCTCAGCTTCACTTCTCCTGTATCTATCTCTATGCTTACCTCCTCCGTGCAACTTCTGAAGTCTAGAAGTCTAATACCATCCCCGTGGCTGCCGCCACAGCGCTGGCCCCCTGAACCCCCTACTCCAAGCTGCCCTTCCAGGATGGGGCCAAGAGGACGATGCAGGGCCGGGAGGTCTCCTGAGTGGAACCCCTGGTCCGTGTCCACGCCCAGTCCCTGCAGCGGGAGTACGGTGACCACATCCTCTCTCTCCCCCACCTCCGCCCTTCTCTGTCCACTTAAGCAGGCTTGGGTGGGCTTAAGGGTCCCCTATGAGAGCCGGGGAGACAGGAGGTGAGGCTGGAAAAGTCTGAGCAGCCCTTCGTGTCTTCTTCATCATCCTCAGAGAGGCCGAGAGGCTGCTGGAGACTAAGCCTCAGGGATGCTACTTGGTGCGTTTCAGCGAGAGCGCCGTGACCTTTGTGCTGACTTACAGGTGAGGGGCCAGCACTGCGCGTGGGGGGGGTGGGGGGGGGCGGGGAGCGGGGCAACAAGGAGGCGGGACTTTGGGCTAATCAGGGGGCGGGACTTGGTGCTGAAGAACGTGTGAGGCGCAGAACTTCATGATGACCCCCAGCAGGGGCGGAGGGGTCTAAGCCCAGTCCCCAGGCTACTAAGGATGGGAGACCCGGACGCTGGGGCGGATGGAGATCACGCCTAGTGCTGGTGTCCTGGCCAGAAAGGGGGAGCAGATCTGATCCTGATCGGTGCCTCCAGGAGCCGGACTTGCTGCCGCCACTTCCTGCTGGCCCAGCTGGGGGACGGGCGCCACGTGGTGCTGGGCGAGGACAGCGCCCACGCGCGGCTGCAGGACCTACTGCTGCACTACACGGCCTGCCCGCTCAGCCCGTACGGGGAGACGCTCACTGAACCCCTCGCCCGCCAGGTACCCATCCCCATCCCGGCCCTGACACTGACCCTGACCCCGGGGACCCAGGCCAGGGCGTCCCCAGCCCCGCCGCACGCAGAACTCAGGCCTCAGGACCTCGCCAGGCACTTTCCCATTCCCACGGAGGACGCAGACATCCCTTTTCCACACATCTCTGCTGGTTGTCCTTCCAGAAAGATGCGTGCTGGTGGAGGGGGCCTTGAGAAACCAGCTCAGTGACACAAAGACTGGAGGGGCTGGGAGTGGTCAGCGAGGCCCCGGAGTCATTTGTTTTTGTGGCTTTATTTTGGCCTTGCTGCTGGGCTTGAGGGCTCTTGGTTCCCAGACGGGGGATTGAAGTCTGCAGTGAAAGCGCCAAGTCCTAACCACTGGACCACCAGGGAATTCCCAGGACCATTTGTTTTTTAAATTAAGAGATATTTACTGAGACAAGACAGATGGGTGTCAAACCCACAAAGCTTACTTACCAGCAGCAAAGACAAATAATAGGAATCAAGTGTGAGAGTGTGATGAGAGAGGAAATGCAGAGTGGGGTGCCATTTAGCTCACATGGTGGGGAGCCATGTCAGAGAGTGCCGCCCCCAGATCGTTCAGGCGGTTCGGAGGGACCACTCTGTGCCAGGCATTGATCTGGACAGTAGGAAATAGCACCAAACAAAATTGACCCAAATGTCCCTACCTTCATGGAGCTTTCATTCTAGTGACAGGAGACAGACAATGAATGCATAATACAGATAACAAATAGAATACAGAAACAAGGAGTGACAGAGTTGGGGTTATTTTACACAGGGACCTTAATGAAGGCTACTCTGGTAAGGGGACATTTGAACAGAGGTCTGAATAAAGTAAGGGGGAAAGTCATGCAGATAACTAGAGGAAAAACATTCTAGGTAGATGGCACAGCAGGTGCAAAGGCCCTAAGGTAGAAGGATCCTTGATGTGTGTGAATAAGAGTAAGCACTGAGGAAGCTAGCATGAGAAGAGAGGTAAAAAATGAAATCACAGGGGTGAAGGACTGCCCGGTGGACTCTTGTATGATTTGGGATTTTAATCTACATGAGATGCACTGGGCAGTTACAAGCTAAAGAGTGACATGATCTGGAAAGTTTGGGAGGGGCATCGGTGATCAGATGGAGGCCACCACAATACTCCAGGAGAGAAGACGGCAGCGTGGACCGTGTTGGTAGAGGTGAAGGGGTGGGGAGGTGGAACATTGGGTCAGTTTGGAAGGTGGAGCTAAGAAGGTTTTTGCAGGCTTGAGTGAGGAACATTAAAAGATGGACTTGTAAAAAAAAAAAAAAGATGGAGTTGTATTGACTGAGATGAGGAAGGCTATGAGAAGACCAAGTCTGGGAGAGACGGGAGATCATGAGTTAGTTCAGTTTTGACATTCATGGTTGGAGACATCCATTCAGTATCCAAATGGAGATGCCAGTTAGGCAGTTGCAATATATGGACTGGGATTTGAGGACGGAAGTCTAGTTTGGAGATCAACATTTGGGAGCCATCAGTATGTTGACGGATTAATTCTAAAGCCTTCAGGAGGGGATGAAATCTCAGGAATGAGCATAGATGGAAAAGAAAAGAATACCAAGTCTCCAGCATTGAGAGTTTGCAGAAATGAGGGGGAACCTACAAAGAAAATTGAGAAGGAGCAGTCAGAGAGAGAGGAGAAGAACCAGGAGTGTGATGCTCTAGATGCCAAGCAAAGAAAATCCATCAGGGAAGAGCGGATGCCAGAGGGTCTAGAATTAACCATTGGATTTGGCCAACAGAAGATCACTGATGACCTGGGCAAGAATAGCTGCTTGGAGCTTGATTGGAGTCCGTTCAAAGAAGTTGGGAAGGGACTGTGCCTAGGGGTGACTATTGTGTGGAATTTCGTGAGGAATAAGCAGAGACCTGAAGATTCCTAAGCAGTGAGAATAGGATGTAGGGAAGTCTGGTGGACAGGGGAGCCAGCTGGAGTTGTGAGAGCCGAGGGCACAGCTGTCAGAGACCAAGCTCTATGACCAGCCCTCAGAGGGTCTTGTCACTCACATTCTCTGGAGTTTGGGCTTTATCCCAGAGCAACAGGCAGCCATGGAAGGATTGCTAGAGGAACTTCTGCAGGTTCATTCTGCTCACAGAGTGGAGAATGGGTTGGCAGGGCAAGATGATGCAGGAGGAGGTGATGGATTTAGGAGGCCTGAACGGGATCAGCAGCTGTGGGCAGGGAGAATGTGGGCAGATATGAAGATATTTAGGCAGTGGAAGGAGCACAGCTTGTGCTCCATAAGACGTGGGGAGGAAGGGAGGGAAGTGTCCGGGTTGACTCCTAAGGTGCTGCTGTTTCAGCAACAGGGTAGAGGGGCTTTTTTTTTGGCCTGTGCCAGGTCTTAGTTGCAACATGTCAGATCTAGTTCCCCGACCCAGGAATTAAACCCAGGTCCCCTGCATTGGGAACACAGAGTCTTAGCCACTGGACCACCACGGAAGTCCCAGAGGTGCTACTTTATATTCATAAAGGGAATGCTAAGACCTCTTAGGGGGTTAGGGCAGGGAAAAAGAATTCTGATTTGAATCCATGCAGTAAGTGCCCAAACACTGTCAGATGGAGACAGGCACTTGGCAGATTGCAGAAAAATGAGAAAAGCCCTATGGGCTGAGCCTCCCAAAATTATCATGCATGTGGAGAACATTCGTGAACCCAGTGATAAATGCTGAGCTAAAAGACCTAACATGGGAAGGAACCCTATAAGGCTCATCTCCCCTGAGGCAGTGTCTCTGTCCCTAAAATATCTGGCTGTTAGCTGTATAATGTACTCCTCTTGCAGCTGCAGAAGTAAACATGGGTACAGAAGTCTTGGAGATCTATCCCCGAGCTGAAAAATTTTAGGCTAAAGACTTGTGAAGCCTGGTTGCAGTTTTACAACTACAGGCACAAATGGTGACTGGTCTGGGCCTGTGTTCCAGATGAAGTTAACTTAAACGCTAAATATCGCCTGTGACCAGAGCAATTGTCCCACTTCCCAGTCTCCTTGCCATCTCCATGCCCTATGCCTCACCCAGAAATCCAGCGCCACCCAAATTTCCCTGCTGCACCCCCACCCCGACATTCTCCACATGGACCAGATTATTTTGCCCTCCGTGGATCACCTGCTCGCTCCCACCAGCCATCCCTCCGGCATCACATCCCCAAGACCTCTTTCTTCTCTTCACCCGCCCCCACCCTGTTCTCCCCCCGATTCCCCCACACCGCCCCCCCCCCCGCCCCGACCCCCGCAGGCTCCTGAGCCCGCAGGGCTGTCCCTAAGGACTGAAGAATCAGACTTTGGAAGCAAAAGCCAGGACTCACAGTTTCAGTATAGCCCGATTCTCAAAAACGAGCGAAGTACAGCCCCGACGCAGAAAGATGGAGCTGGGGAGCCAAAGCAGGTGTGTGACCCGAAGCGCTGGGAGAGAAGGCGGGGCCTGAGAGAAGGGCGGAGCCTGGGGACGAAAAGGAGGGCGCGGCCTGTGTGAGGGGGCGGGGCCAGTGGGTAGGAAGAAGGCTTGAAGGGGGGCGGAGGCTCAGACTGGGTTCCAGCTCTGGCCCTGCCTGGGTTAGGGTGACCCACTCTCCCCCTTGGCATCACTGACTCATTGGACATGAGTTTGACCAAACTCTGGGAAATAGTGAAGGACAGAGAAGCCTGGCGTGCTGCAGTCCACGGGGTTGCAGAGTCGGTCGCGACTGAGCGACTGAACAACAATTCTCCCTGCTCGCTTTCTGTCCTAGCCCTCCCAGCCGCCCAGGCCCAAGCCGCCCATCCCCGCCAAACCTCAGCTGCAGCCGGAAGTCTACACAAGCCCTGCTCCGAGACCCCGCCCAACCCTGCCCCCCAAGCCCTCCAACCCCATCTACAACGAACCTGATGAACCCATCGACTTCTACGCCATGGGCCGGGGCAGCCCTGGGGAAGCCCCCAGCAACATTTATGCCGAGGTGGAGGTGAGGGAGCCTGATTTAAGGAGTCAGGACCCGCACTGCATCCTCAGGCATGAAGTCCTACGGAAATGCCAGTCCAGGCCTGTCCTAGGCAGTCAGGTAAATGGGGGTGCAGAGAAAAGTGAGACCCCTAAGGAAGACTTCCTGAAAGCTAGATTGAAAGGGTGGAGAAGGTGTTCAGACTGGATGTTGGGGGTCAGGGTGAATGAAGGTCAGAGATGGGAAGAACAGAGGGTTGAGACTGCCAACAATCCTCTTCCAGTCCCCTCTGTTTGGAGTTACTGGGACCTGCCTCCCCTGTGTCAAGTCCTCACCCTCTCCACTTCTCAGAGAAAGCAGAGGGCCCTGCAGGTCCCTTCAGCCTTCTCCCACCTGCACCTGTGTCCCTCCCACCTGGCTGGCCCTCTTCAGAACCCCCCGAGATCGACCCCCCCATGGCAGGAGTCTTGGCCTTCACGTCACCTCTCCTCCCCAGTCTGAACTTGGGCCTCTCTCATGCTGGCTCAGCTGGTCCTCCCCTCAGCCTTCCTGAAGAAGAGCATCTGGAGTCCTTCATGGCACCTCAGATGAGCTCAGGGGAGGGGGTGCCTGCCTGTCCCCTCCTTCTGCACATGCCCCCTGTCCTGCAATCCTCACACCTGCCCAGACTTCTCACTGATCAGGTCAAGTCAGTATCTTGTTTCTTTAGACTGCAGCTCCCACCCAATCCCTCTGCCTCTGCCCCCCTCTTCCATTCCCTGCCCCAACGCTGGCATCTCAGGCTCCCCCTCAGCCCTTGTGCCTGATCACGCTTATACACATCCCTGACTGCCATCCTAGAGCTGATGTCAGCAGTCCACGTCTCTATGTGAATTTCTCTCCAGGCTTCTGCTCAGCTCCCCAACATCCCACAGCCTCCTGGACTCAGCACAACCAAGTGTCCTCACCCTACTCCCCTGATTGTTCCCTCCCGTGTTCCCTCTCCCATTTGGTATCTCATCCAACTATTCAAGCCAGGTTTGCTTCCTTGACATCTCCCCGCTCTTCACCCTCACTCCCCTATAAGTACTGATTCCTGCTGGGTCTTTTCCTAAATACCTTTTTCCTTTCATCAGTTTTAGCTCCCATCCTCTCTCATCCGGACTTTCCAAGAGCTTCTTAAGTGATCTTCTGGCCAACAGTCTTGCCACTTCTGATCCACTGCCCCAAGAAAGTCAGAATGGTCTTTCTAAAACAGCTACCAGGCCCATGAAGCTCTCTATAATCAGGTGGGGTGGGGAGCCACCCCCTCAGTCTTATCACCAGCTGCACCCATCCACCCTGAACTGGTCACATTTCTCGAAATACACCAAGTGGTTTCAGACCCTCCAAGGTTTTACACACGCCATTCCCTCTGCCTATAGCTACTTCCTACAAACGTACCTTCCTACTGCCCAGCAACCTTCTAATCATCCTCCAGCTTGCCCACCCTTCCCCACTTCTGCAAAGACTTCCCTGACCTCACCACAGAAGCTTTCTACACACCTGTCATGTCACTAATGGTTGATACTGATACCCCCCTCCCCCAGCAGAGTATTAGCTCCCTGAGGGCAGGGATGGGACTTGTTCATCTCTTGTTTCCAGAGCACCAGGCACAGTGCCTGGCAAAGAGCAGGTACTCAGGAAATGTTTGTTGAGTGAACGAGAGAGGTTTAGATCTCCTCTTTGCAGGCCAATTTCTGTTAAGATCAGAGGCTGCAGGTAAGTCTAGGAGGCAGAAGGTAGAGGGTATGACCTGGGACCATCCTTCTCTCTACAGAATCCAGGTGGCCAACAACCGCATTCTGAGAACTCCTTGGCTGAACAAGGCCCTACTGTGCCGCACCAACCCCTACCCCGCTGGGGGCACACTCTCCCCCACAACCTTTCTAGACAAGTGCTTCAGGACAGAGGACAGGCGTGGCTCCCCCTGGGGCCTCCTCAGTAGCTGGTGAGTCTGAGCTGGGGAAGGATAACTTGGAACAGCGGGTCCAGAGACCTTCACACACACCCAGCCATCCTTCTCAGGAAATGTGGATGGAACAAACTGTAGGTGATCAGCGCTGGAAAGGACCTCAGCCATCATCTATTGCAAAGATGGCAAATAAGTGTCACCTTGGATGCCAACTCCAATCCATTGATTGTGGCTGCCTGGAGCACTGCTTTGGAAAGGATGTTAAGGTCATATCTGAACTCAGCAGAAAAGAACACCGTGATTGATTAGTGATGTCTGCCATGGGTGAGAGAAGAGGAGCAGCATCTCCTTTGCCCTCACTGATCAAGTCCAACTCCAGCTTTGTTTTTGGAAACAAAACCAGAGAAGGATGATGGCTTAGTCAAGGTCAAGGACTAGAACCCAGGCTTCCTGCTTCTTCTGTTTAGTGCTGTGTTCTGTGCCCTACTCTACTAACTCTTCTCCATGGGAAATGTTTGAGATTTCCTCAGATAAGAAATCTGGCTGCTTTCCAGAGTTCTACTGCATGGGGGCCTGGGTGCTGGTTCCCTTCCTCCAGATCCCAGCTTGGCCCTGTTCCCCTAACTGGTCTGGGGAAACCTGACAAAGAAACCACACAAAGAAACCTGGAGGCCAGAGGAGCAAATGTGGGGTCTGCTTCCTTTTAGGGACACACCCTCTGGTTCCCTCCCAAGAATCTCCAAGAATCCAGTGGCTCAGTGCTTGCCTCTAAGGAATAGGGCTAGGAGGGCCCTGCTGCGTCCTAACACTGCCCTGGTTTCCCCTCCTGGAGTCTGATTTCCTTGGCCCTCGAGCCTTGGAGCCTGGGCCCTGGTCCAATGCTGCTGTTGTCTGAGGAATGGTTTGGCGAGAACAGATGTTAGAACTTGTTTGTTGATTCTTGTCTGGCTAATAAATCATTACCAAGCACCTCCCCCAACAGGGATTCAAGTACTCCAGGCTCCTTCTTTCTCTGACTCTTATATTGCAGAAGGCAAGTTGTCAAACGGGGGAGAACGGTCGGTGGTCGAAAGATACCTGGGCAAGGGTCACAGATCTATGGGCTGGGGGTGGGGAGACACCAAGGCGAGGGACACAGACCGCTCTCTGAAAAGTATTCCTTCCCTAACTGGGGTGGGCTAGGCAGCTAGCCAGGGGCAGAGGGGTGAATACATCGCCTGGGGGCTGCCAGGAAAGAGGGGCAGGGAGGGGAGTGGTTGAACGGTAGCCCCAGCACCTCCTTCCTCAACCCCCCTGCCAAGCACAGGACTGGAAGGGAGAGGGGGCATTCTTAACCTATGTGTGTGAGCCCCTTAGAAGGATAGGGGACCCCCTTGTAGCGGCTCCCCGCCTTGGGCTTAGGCATCCCCTGTTCCTCTTATGATGTTTCCTCTTCTCTCCCAGACCCACTTCAGGGCCTCTTGCCCCTGTGGCCAAGCTCCATACTCTAAGCTTCAACCACCTAGAAGAATCAGCCTCGGGTTGTGTTTTTGTCTCAGACGGGGTCTCTCTGAGGCAGGACTGTGTCTGCCCCTGGATCGCCCTGAGGGCTCAGAGCAGAGACTGCTCCCCACCCCCACCCTGGGTACCACTCACAAGGCTTCTGGTACTCCTGTGGGCCCAGCCTGTTCTTACTCTCATTTCTAGGAGAGTTCAGTCAAGACAATCAGGGTCCATCAGGGTCTCTCTCCCTCCCAAGGGCCCCTGTGTACTTGCCAGAATCACAGAAGTGCCCCAGACGCCTCCCTGAAGACACAGTCCCTGGGTCTAGGCGCTGCCAACACCGGGCAAGCCCCAGTGACTAGTCAATTCCCCTCCTTTCCACTCAGTGCTAATCAGCTCCAGGAGAAATACAGTTGCTGAGTCAACAGAGTGGGGTTCCACTTCCTTCTGTCTATAGGTCTAAGCTCCCTCCTGAGCAAGAGAAGAGGTGGGAGGGCAAACGGGGCAGGTGGGGGTGTGGAGGGGAGGGGAGGGGAGCAGATGGCTTTGGGGAGGAGAGGCTGAAAGTGCAAGAAAGGTCTGAGATTAGACTCAGGGAGTCACCTGGTGGCTGATTCCTGTGGCAGCGGAGAAGGTAGAAAAAGGAGAGGCTGGCTGTATAGCAGCTGGAAATCAAAGTCAGCAGATGAGCTTTCCTTGGACTTCAGGACAGAACAGGACGGGCAGGTTTGGGGAGCGGCCAGGAATGCCTAGTGACCGACTCGGTGTCTCTGAAGCAGCAAAGCCTGCTAAAAAGGGGCAAATGCTCCTCACTGCTGCGGGTAGGCTCAGCAGAGTGGGTGGGAAGATCCTGACAACCAGCATTGTCAGCTTTCTGCTGCGCTTCTTTGCTAACACACTGCCCAACTTTTAACAGGGAAGCTTTTTTCTGCGCCGTTCCCTACATTCCTTTGAAATGGAGAGAATGCCTTATTTGCCTGTGGGGCTGCTGTACTGATCAGATGAGACCAGGCAAGCAAGGGGCTTCGCAGAGCAGGACTGTGGGGCTAGAAGGGACTTCGAACCCTTTGTGACTGACTTTTTGGTTCAACCAAATCAGAAGATGAGTTCTAGAGAGGGGAAATGACAGGGAACTGGAGGTTGTCAGGGCGGATCTTGTCATCCCAAACACTTGCTTCCCCTTACACCGTAGGGCCCCTCCCAGGCCCTAGGATAAGGCCCGGGTCCTCCCCGAGGCTCCAGCTGCAGGCCCAGCCCTGATGACCCAGGCAGTGGAGCGTCCTTCTCCCCCCTTCCCACAGCCATGGGCACCCCCACACCATCCTGCTGATTTCACCCCCTCAGAGGCCCAGGGCTACAGTGAGACCTCAGATGGAGAAGCCGAATGAGCAACATACAGGAAAGGGAGCCTCGCGACTGTGCTGGGCAGTTACTCTGCCCCAGTAGGGAACACTCGGGCCAGGAGGGGAAGGGCATTCCCCAGCTGACTCAGTCTCCCCATGGTTATTCCATCCTGCCAGCCTCCTCTAGGCAGGGCTCTCAGGCTCAAAACCCTCTTGTATCAGAGAGGAGTCTCCTACCTACCCTGAGCCCCAGATCCCCTCCAGAGCCTGCAGAAGGCCCTGCCGCAAGTTTCCAGCTCTGTCCTCTGGTTCCAGTCCTTTGAGCACCATGGCCTGCGCAGGTGCCTTTTTTTCCCTGCCCGTCTCCCTTAAGCTGTCCCCCTTATCAGGTCAGCTCCCTCAGCTAACGCAGTAGACAGTCTCAGTAAGGTGCCCTGTAACTCTGGCTCAGGGGACCAGGACAGGGGCAGGGGGTTGAGAGATGTTAACCCCCAACCTTAGCTATCCTAATCCCACGGCATGAACCCACTGGAGGAGGGCTGGGGGCAGTCACCACTTAGGCTGTGCCCTCGGCTACCCTTACTGGCCTCAGAACACCTGTCCCCACGGAAATGAAGCTGAGCGGAGGGAGCGGGGGTACAAAAAAGGTTGGGAGCGTTCCGCCACCCTGCCACCCCTCAAGACTTCAGCCAGCCCTTCAAACGACTGCGGCTTCCTGGTCAGTAAGCTCAGCACCCAGCTGGAACAAAGACGTGGCTGGGTTCCTGCCCAGGCGTCAGAGCTTTGGGGTAGGAGCCGAAATGCCCCCTTCTGTGACAGCTGTGCCACCTCCGTGTAGCTCCTAAGTCTGCTCCTTGTGGATCCCACCTTCCTCAGCTCCGCTGTCCTGGTCAACGTGGGCTTTGCCCGGGCCCCTCCAATACCTTATAGGGCCGTTTGAATCCATTTCTGACCAACACCTCCACCACCCTCCCCCTGCCCCTGTCCCTTGGCTGTTGCTGCCATGCCAGTTTTAGTCAAGTTATCCCTCTTTCCTCCTTTTGTCTCCCTCATCCCTGTCTTCTCTTTCCTGTTTATGATAACTTGAGGTTATTACCTCAGGAAGCCCTCCCAAATAGAGTCTGTTCATTTTCTAACTTTTATTTCTCTTGGTGACCAGGAAATTCCAACCAAGTAAAATGTCATCTTATATTAGGAATAAAAAGTGGCTTGGAACTTCCCTGGTGGTACAGTGGTAGGTATTCTGCGCTTCCACTGCAGAGGGCATGGGTTCAATCCCTGGTCGGGGACTAGGATCCCCTATGCTGCTCTGCAGTTTAAAAAAAAAAGTTTACTACTTGTGGAGAACCAAAGGAGATGGGACACAAGAAGACACTGAAAGATGTCTGGCTTAAATCTATCCATTCGCAGAAGACACCAGGACTCTCCCTACCCATATGCCTCGCCTCCCAACCCAGAGCACCGCCAGGTCCGTCATGACGCAGCCCCTAAAATGACAAAGTTGAACAGCTGAATCCCAGGAGTACGGCAACTCGGGAAGGAGTGTGGCAACCCCATCTACAGAGCCCTGGATACAGAAAGAGCAGCTGACTCCTTGGGACCTCAGACTTTGGGGCCCTACTGAGCCTACCTCACCACCTCACTTCACTGTGACTCCCGAGGGGCGACCTCAGTCCTCAGTGCCTCTGTGGATGGTGGGAGCGGTGGTACAGGCTGAAGGCTCCTTGCTGAAGGCTGGCTGGATGCACTGACTTGGACAACTACAGCCTGCGTGTCCCTGTGGGATGCAGGAGCCCTGTCTGGCTCCAACCCGAAGTAGGTCAGATTTCAGATAAGCGGGTGGTTTTCCTGTAAGCAATGAAACCCTCCTCTGTACTTAATGAGAAACAGACTCCTCAACTTACCCCAGCTCACAAGACCAGAAGCATGGTGAGATTCCTCACTTGCTTCTCATCCCCAAGTCCCCACCACACACTTCTTCAAAACTGCCCCTCAGGTCTCAGCCTTGCTCTCTGTCACCAGGACTGTCAAACACCAATTCCTCCCAGTGTTTTTCCTGTTCAGAACCTGCATCTTCGTTCCGTCAGCGTTCCCTTGCCTGGCATCCAAGGCATCCCTTCCTGCATGAAGTCACTGCAATTAAGCCCTACTGGAGTCCCAAGTCCCCTCAGTGTCTATAGCAGGGTGGGCTTACTGCTTCGTGACCAATATTCAGTATCTTCCATCTCTATCTGAACCATGTCTGAGGAGGAGGAATCATGCCACTATCTTGTGGCCAACAAGGACTACAGCCAACTGAAGTCCACAGACCCTGCCACCTCCCTTCCTCATCCACCACCCTCCCCCAACCTACCCCATCCTCTCAGGCAAAAAGCTCGGAGTTAGATGGAGGCTCCAAGGATATCTGTCTAGCCCCCAATCTCCATGCAAAGCTTCCAAACCAGTCCAGGCCAATGACAACCAGTAAAAATTTTAGTCATCTTTGGGGACAGGCATTTCACTACTTTTTCATGTCCAACAACTCTTTCACATCCCAGAAACAATCTCCTTGACTTCAAGATACCTGAGATCAGCAATACTTTCCATATTTGGGGTCACAGGCCCCTGTCCCAAACAAAACTGTACAGACACCTCCTAGAGTCTTCAGTGGCCATGACCCCAGTTAAGATGGTCAGCACCCAGAAAAACTACAAAGTAATCACGAGATAGCTCACAACAGTTTGGAGGCTGCTTTACCCCAGGTAAAAACTAAGATCTAAGCACAGAACAACAAAAGAGAAGCGTCCAAACCAAAAAAAAAAAAAAAGAGAGAGAGAGAGAGACCTCACTTAAAAGTAGGAAAAGGTTCAGGGCACGCAGTGTCTGTTGGACTGAATATTTTATTTCAACAGACATCCCTGGTTTTAAAAAAAAAAACAAGATGGAGGGAGGGGTTCAACATATCATCACACCCAACAGGGAGCCAAACTCCCATCCAAGAACTGAGCCCCTTCTGAGGCATCACTTGAGTCTTTGCTAGCTCCAAGACAGAAAGGAGCTGAATTTTCTAACTTTTGTTAAGAAAAATCTATCAAATATGTTCATTCTCGCAGAGGCGAGGGCTGGGTCCTCAGGGAAAGAGATCCTGGGCTTGGATCAGCTGGGGTCCCAGAGATGAAGCTGGGGGCCGAGCCAGCTGGGCTGCAGGAGATCCAGAGGCAGTCAGGTCCAGAGCCCTAGAATCCGTATTTGGCTTGGGTCTGCCGGCGGCTGAGCTTGTTCTCCGACCAGGTGTTCTTCAGTTCCAGCTCCCGCTCCTTAGCCTGTGCAAGGAAGAGGGGGCAGGGGAGAGTTACACCAAGGCTCTAAGAAACAAGCTTCTCTTGCCTCTGTGTGCTTCCCACTTTCAAGTCTTTCTGCCATCAAAACAATTATGAGGAAAAAGTAAACCCCTTGAAGGATTTAATTTTCTTATTCAAGCAGAAGGGGAGGACCCTCAGAAAGCAAAGGAAACCACCTCTTTAGGGAGTTAATAGGGTTCAAGCAGAATTTAAAGAATGCTGGTCCTGGGACTTCTCTGGTGGTCCAGTGGCTAAGACTCCATGTTCTCAATACAGGAGGCCAGAGTTCGATCCCTAGTCAGGGAACTGAATACCACATGCTGCAACCAAGAAGTTGCATGCCACAACTAAAAAACCTGCATGCACAATCAAGACCTGTTGTAGTCAGATAAATAAATAATTTAAAAAAAAAAAGAATGCTGGTTCTTCATCAGCTAGATTTTTTTTTTTAAACATTTATTTATTTTATTTATTTGGCTGCATAGAATCTTAGTTGTGGCATGTGGGATCTAGTTCCCTGACCAGGGATCGAACTCAGCCCACCTGTATCAGGAGTGCAGAGTCTTAGCCACTGGACCACCAGGGAGTTCCCATCAGCTAGATTTAAAACTGAAATGCTCAAATGGGAAATGGACAAATAAGAACCTGAATTTGGCATCTGAAAGGAAGACAATCAGCTGCCTAATGAGCCATGTGAGAGAAGACAGCGTTGAAGACCTGGACAGGTCAAAATAGGACACCTACCAACAATTATTGAGTCTGGAGCCACTGTTTCACTGTTGTGTTGAATGTAGTATATATGGTACCCTAGAAATTCACACCACTTTAGAGCACAAATTGAAGCTGTGAAAAACTGACTGGAAGGTACAAGAATTAATGCTTCCCCTCCTGACTGTGACAACTCCTAACTCTAAACAGCATTCTGGGAATGTACAAATGCCACCCTAGAAAAGCGGCTCCTCAACCCCACCTCCACCTGCTCATTTCCCCTGGGGTGGAGAAGGGTGCTAGGAGTTTGGATTTTAAAAAAAGACCCATCCATGGCTAATTCATTTCAATGTATGACAAAACCCACTGCAATCATGTAAAGTAATTAGCCTCCAACTAATAAAAATAAATGAAAAAAAAATAAAAATAAAAAAAGACCCTACGGGGGAACAGCAAGTAAAAAATAATTTAAAAATAAAAATAAAAAAATTTTAAAGACACTACCCTTAAATTCTTTCCCTACAAATAACAAGATAGGGTAAGGGTACAAAGGAGTCCATGAAAAAGAAGATGAAAATATGGTAAGAACAATGAATGCAAGTTTTGGCACTGAAATCACCAACCAGCATATATACTCTCCGGAAATGGCCAGGAAAGAGTCTTATTCCTTCTGTATTCTTGACAGCATTTAGTACACTAGATCTCAAAAAGATATTTAATGACACAATAAATATTTGAAAGCTGTCAGGTCCTACCAAATAAACACCAAGAAATATTCCAATTACAAAAGATATTTTTAGATTATCTGTAAATCTGAATTACTTGCATTGATGTTTCCTGCCACAGAAATGAAGAACACAAAACCAACCTCACCTCCTCATGAGGTATACGTTTTGCTAAAAGTTGCTGAACCAATCTTTCTTTAGTTTTTTGAATTATCAGATGAACTTGATATTTAAAAGAACCTTATGAGAAACCATTTCACCCCACTCTTACCTTTATGTTTTAAATATCTGAATCTTCATTTACAGTTTATTCCAAGCACCTGTACTGGAGTCTTACATGAAGTGAGCCTGAGGCAGAGTAGGATAATTCTGAAGGACACATCCCCACCTAGTGGCCATATGGAGAACTGGGGAGGGTGCCATCCGGAAGCAGGGGTCTGACAGAGGCTTCTAGCCAAGATCTCAGCCTTCAAATCCCCAGGTTTACAGGGATCCTGCCTAGCAGGCCAGGGCCCTCAGGCGTCTCACCTGATGAATCAGGTACGTAATCTGGTGTTTCCGCCGCTGCTGGCCTGTTGGCTGCTCACCTTTCTTCTGTAAGGGAAGAAAACCACGATTAACACATTGAAAGAAAAGTGGAAGCTTCTCACCGGCCCCAATGGGACAGGATGGGTATCAAGAAAACAACTACACAGCCCACATCCTAGGGGGAAGAAGTCAGCTTGGAGCAGTTTTTAAGTCTATTTACTTACAAGATAGTTATTTTTATTGAAGTTATTATGCAAAAATCTCAAGCTCAGAATACTTGCCTAAAAGAGTCAGCCAATATCCTCATTAGACTGGAAATACTTTGAGGTCAGGACTGTCTTCTGTATCTTTGGTAACCCACCACCTCAGCACCAAGCCTGGGGCTCTGCCCACAGTGGACACTTGGCACCAGCTTTACTGCTTGCAGTCAGTCTAAAACAGTTTAAAGGCCAGGGTCCAGGAGACCTCCCTCCCTTCTTACCTCCCACCACCTCCTCTGCCCTTAAGGACCTCTTCATCTCTGTCCACTTCTTCCCAGTCAGGCCAGATGTCTAGCCTATCTCCTGCCTACTGCTTACCAAGCTCTCTCCCATCAATCACCTTTGGCTGAAACCCTACTCCCTCATTCTAGTAAGTACCAACAAGCAGCTTCCCTGGAATTAGATTTTCACAATCACCACGCCTCTCTCCAATTTTCCAGCCTTCACCCGTAACTGCACTGAATCCCTACCCAAACTTTGATGCAAATGATTTACTGTCAAAGTCTATATTGGTCGGGCTTTCATTCTGCGGTTTTCCTGTCCTCTGCCAGTGTTAGTCTCAGACTAGAAGCTTCCTAATCAGCCCCACCCAACTCCCAAAACTCCTCTCTGGAGTCTCCTCAGCACTTATGTAATCAATTTGCACCATAATCATTTATACTCAAGTGTCCTTAAAACTCTTTTTCTCAACTACACTCTAAACCTGTCAAGGACAGGAACTGTATCCTTTTCTTCTTTTTTTTTTTAAATCTAGCTCAATACAATGAGATGGTGGGGAAAAAAATAAAAAACTTAAACCTGGGAAAACAGCACACTCCCAATTCCTTGATGCTATTTAATGTCATTTAATATGACAGTTAAAGATGACAAATGTAAAACATCCAGCTCCATTCCTGGTCTACAGTGAGCACTAACAGCAGCAGCTATTACTACGTGACGATGCCTCTCCACCCAGTTAGTAGAGCATGCTCTCCTAAGTGGCTTTTCCAGTAAACAGTGATGGATCTATGCTGATCTAACCACAATCCTTTGCTCTGTCCTGTACAACCGCCAGCGTTCAGTTAAAACAAACGACTGGGGCTCAGATGGCCATCTGTGGCCACAGAACAAAGCAAAGAAAACGGGGGGAGAAGAAGGGAATAAAACGCCCGACCTTGGCCTTGCTGGTGCTGGGCTAGAATCCAGGCTTCCCCACATCTTCCCCCCTGTGGCAGGCTCATAAATGTCCACAGTTGCCGTACTCAGCTACTAAGTGAAGAGAGGTTCATCATACTGACGGAAGAAAATAGCACAGGGAAGGCAGGAGGGTGGTGTGGGAAAGGTGAGGGATAAAGCGTCTGAAAAGGCCACAGCTGGGTACAACAAATGATGGAGAGAAAGGTGAGAGGAGGGGATGCACACTCAGAACCGAGGACCCCAGGACTTCGGAGGCTCTGCTGTGCCCACACCCCAACGATGTGCTGCACCAAGTTCCAACTTAACAGGATGGAGAGAGGGGTAGGACAGTAGGAAAAGGGTCGAGAGCAGCTATGGATTCTGTCCAGCCAGGAAGGAACCACACATGCTGAGATCTTCTCAACTGCAGGATAGGAAACTGTTTCAGCCATCCAATCTCAGTAACCAGACTACCGTCTAGATGGAGAGCGAAGTGCTGTAAAATTCTGGAAAGTAGGAGCTGTACCTGGGAGGCTTGGTGTACACTCCAGTACCAAGGGGAACGTGTTTGCTAAAGGTGCAGGGACAGTAACAATGAGGTGAGGGGTCAGATTCTGCTTTGGGGACTCCCAAGGCGGCCGCCCAGCAGACCTTCCTTTCCCTCTTACTTTGCTGAATGACTTCACGGTTTTCTCTTCTGTCAGTGACTTGGTCATCCACTGCTGGGCCCCGCTGAGCTGGTCGTCACCTTTGATCTCCACGAAGTTGATCTCCTCCCTCCCTCGGTTCCTTTTGCCCTGCAGCCGCTTAAACTGGAAAAGGGGGGAAGAAATTCAGGAGTCAGGGGTCTGGGTAGGGGATCAGGAGATGTCACCAAGGATCCAGAGTTTATGGAATGATTTTAGGGCTCCCCAATTCCACTGCACCCTTAATTCTCTCTGTGCAGTATGTCCTTTCACCATGCCACCTACCAAGTTGCATTGATGCCAGGTGAAAGGCTACTTCTCAGAAGTTCTCCTGGCCTCAGGGAAAAGAAGGCCAAAATGTATTACCAAACATGAGTGCAGAGAGTCACTGGTATGAATTTTACTCAAATTATGTATAAATTGTATATGCCTAAAAGGACTGCACACTATTTTCAAATTAAGAATTAAAGGTACAAAAACAATTTTTTTTTTTTCAAAAACAATTCTAGAATTTCTTCTAAAAATTTGTTCTTTTAACATGTCTGTTCTTTCTCATTGGTTCAGTATCACCAAATCAGCAGACCACACACCAGATTAGATATCAGAGGAGAATATAATTCGAGATGGAGAGAGAGGAAGCCTCAAAAAAGAGCCTGGCAAAATTTCCAGGAGACTGCTACTCTTTCCTCTTCCTCCGAAAGAAAGAAAGAAAAATTATCACACTGTTAAGTCATCAGAAGATGTGCCGAGGAGTGTAGGTGAAGAGGAATTAAATTCAAGAACACTTGGAAATCTGCAGTGAAACCCAGGTTGTGGTCTGAGCATCAGCAAGGCCTCTCTCTACCCATAAGGAGTTGACTTTTGCCACTGGATAAGCTCCCTGCTGCCTCCGAGGCTTAGAACAAAAAGGGCCTAACTACTGAACTTGTCAAGGAGGAGACACAGGAAAGTGGACGAACACAGGATTAACCACAGGCAGAAGTTTGCAAAGGGAAACCTTTTCTGTGAAAAGGTGAAGAGAATGTTATTTTTATAAGAACTTGCATCCTCTTTTCTCCAACCCACTCCTGGTAGGCTATGGCCTCCCTACAGATCAAATACTTTATCTCCTGAACATGAGCGGACGGTCGCAAAACATGAGGTTTTCATCTTCCCTTGCGCCGAGTTGGGGAGAGGCTCAGCAGCAGAGAATAATACAGCGATGTGAAACACAAGGTTACTTACTGTGGCTGCTGTTCCCTCCCCCTCTCTGTTAGCATGAATGAACCCAACATTTTGGCTAGGCATAGTACCACCCAATGAAAAGACTACCACGTTCCCTTGCAACTAAATACGGCCATATGACAGGTTCTAGTCAGTAAGATAGAAGGAAAAGTATTCTTAGGAACTTTCAGGAAGTCTCCTGAAGGGGGAGGTGACTTTCTTTTTCCAGTCTGCTGCCTAGTGTGCAATAATGATAGCAGTGGCCTTAGCTACATTCTTATTCTTATCGAAGGGGGCTGGATCTCGACAACTTTTTGAAGCTGCCATACCAGCCTTGGCCTGCCTACCTCTAGCCTTCTTTTATAAAGAAAAAAGTTAACTTCCCTTACATATGCCATTATTACTTGAAGTTTCGCAATTATATGTTGTCAAACTGAATCCCAAATGAATATAGCTTTTTGCTTTTTTAAAAAAAAGAATTTCCTTTAGCTTCAGACTTGAAACTTGGTGTCTAGCGGTCAAAGATGGTCATTTGGGCTTTATGAACTTACTGCTTCGTCATCGATGAAGGACGCATCTGGGGCAATTTCCTGGGGGGGGACCAGAGCCGGATCCTGTGCGGGATAGTAGCCACCACTGTAATAATCCTGTAGTCAAGGAGGGGAGAAAACATACCAGCTGAGGGCAGAGTGGAGAGAAGAGAGAAAACCCTCACCCAAGAGGCAGTGGTGACACCCACACTATAGACTCCTCAAGTGGGCCAGCAAAAGCACAGATCCTAAGGACCTACCCTACAACTCAAGAACCAGAGTTTTTTCTAATCTACACCATCCAGACAGATTTTTTTTTTTTAGGGAAGAGATACAAGAAATAAAGACATTCTCTCCTGCTTCAATTCACAGCCTGCTCCCTTGGCTGCTTCCCCAGCATGACTCCTACTGCTGACCTCTACCGTGCCTCAGCCGGGCTCCTCCTGCTCAGAAGACCCCCGCGTACACTCCAGTGTGAGCAGAGATGAGGAGGTGTGAGGCATGCTACTCCTGCTCCTCGTCCGATCTAGCAGCCCTGAGCACAGGGGACTCCCTCCCTCAGCAGGCAGGAAGAGTGCAGATTTCTGATAAAAATAAACCACCGTAAGGGTGGTATGGAATTTACAAAGCTGGGAACAAACCAGGTTTGCATTACTAGATTTTCAGCTCAGGAATTGATGATTTCCCTTTAGAGGTAAGCTGGCCAGATGTTGCTGTGGACCCTAGAGGAAGAGGGGTGAAGGCAAGGGCAAGGCCCCTACTGTGGCCAACTCAGGCAGCTGCAGGGCTGAGAAATCATTTCCTCCCTGCCTACACTTTTTCCTAATTCTTCCACCTTTGCCCAAAACTCCAAGAAATGCTCCTCCAGGAACATTCATCTTATATATGAAAAATAAGGTTTAATATTAAATAATACATAAAAACCAGAGTAATTAAAGCATTAATTTTCATTAAAAGTATTAATAAAAAACACACATTTAAATTGAAGGGCCCCCTAGAGTAATTACAGTGCTTTAATTTGCACTGACTGCCTTCATGGTATTTGTAACTGCATACAAAATTCCAACTGTTATTCATTGACTGGATATAAACTAGTGGTTTCTTATATTTTTCTCTTTCTTTGCTAAAGAGGTCAAAACACTCATCTTCCTCCTTCCAACAACACTGAGGGGAGATGCACTGTCCCTGGTCAGTCTATAGGACACAGCAAGGCTTAATGGCGGACAGGTTTCAAAGTCTTTGATCAGAAGAGAGTTTCCTCAAAGCCCACTTACCACGGGTCCCTGTGCAGGCCTAGACTGTAGGTAAGAGTAACACCGACCACTCAGAGAATCACAGTGGCTGAAGGAGACTGAAGTCTTGCAACCATCACACGCTGGCAGGAAAACTTCCTACAGCTTCCCGGCCACAGCACGAGCCAGCTGCCTCTGATCAACCACCACTGCGGCTGTGAGACCCCGGACTCCTGCGAGCCCTCTCCATCTAACGAAGTTCTGACCACTGGAAGTCTGTCTTAAACTACTCACAACCTGGCCTCACATATTCTCACCCTCTGAAGCCCTGGAGAACAATTTAAACAGCTCTTCCACATAATATTTGAATAAAAATTCTCATTACCATTTACTAAGCATTTGCTATGTTACCAATATAACTCTTGTAGCAACCCTGAAGTTCTATCATTCTTCCCATCTTAGAGTTGAGAAATCTGAGATTCAGAGGGGCAGATAAGTAATTTGCCCGACTCACATAGTTTGAGATTCGAAATCTAAACCCCACTTCCTGTCTCTGCCCAAACTATGGTCCCCCAGTGTCCTCTCTGTAGAGACTTACTTTAGGCCTTTGACTCCTCATGTCTCAGACAAGGCCTCTTGCCATTCTCCTACTCCATTTGCATTCAACTCTCCAGACTCCCTCCTCTCCCTCCCCACCTCCAGAACTCTCCTTGGACTCACTGCTATCTAGTCGTCTGTGCCAAAGCTCTTGCATCCTCCTCACCCACATGTGCAAAAGCTACCTGGGATCTCTAAGATTAGAGACTGCTCTTCTTCCACTTTCTCCCTATCCCTCTCATCAGCTCCTACAATGACCTTCTGTGTTCAGAATAAAGGGGTCAATTATGTGGTTCAACCTGCCAGGCTTCGAGACTTGGGCAATTTTAGATCAATATGGTTTAGCATAAAGCCATAATGTTTTGAGACCCAATAGGTAACGAAAAACCAAGACACCAGAAGACTCATTAATTCAGCCAAAGTGATGCCAGAGAGGCCATATCACAGGCTCAAAGCTCTCCCTGACTGTCAGACTCCAACATTCCCCAGCCTGCCCTCCATGCCGCCTACGCACCTGATAGTAAGCACCAGCGGCATTCGCATCGCCATATGTGGAAAACTGATTGTAGCTGTAGTCATCCCCAGGCTTAGGCATCCAAGGGGCCCCACTTGAGCCTGCTGCCATCTTGAACTCCAAGGGGGCATTGGCTGCATCGTCCTGGAAGGCCGGCTCTGGTTCTGTGCCTGGAGGCAGCTCTTCTGGGACAGTGGGAACAGGGTAAGGGTATGGCTCAACTCCAGGCGGCTCGGCCTTCTCAGGGAGGGAGAAAAAGTTCTCAGGGGCTACTTCCTCATCACTGTCGTCCTCCTCCTGCGTGATCTGCTTCGTCACCTGCAGGGCAGCACTCTTGGCGGCAGCCTTGATAGCTGAGGGCGATGGAGTGGTGGTTGTGGTGCCCACAACAGGGGCAAGAGAAGAGGACTTGGTCTTAGAAGCTTGCCTGGAGGGCTTAGTGTCAGAGGAGCCATCCGAGGGTTTCCGGGAGAAGGCATGGGGCAGGAGCAACCTGTTAGTCTCTTTCACAGTCAGGTTTTTAGGTTGGGGAAGCAAGGCGGACAAACCAGTCCCCTCACTGGATCCCTGGTGAGCCCAAGTTTGGGTAAGGAGGGAAGAAGGGTGATAAGTGAGATGTTATGATACATACTACTGACATTAAGAACAAGCATTACAGTTACGTGCTCCAGCCTAAAATCTTACCAGCCCTGTTTCTGTCTGACCTTTGCCCACTAAGGTCATCCACACTGGACTTGACTGCTCCTACCTCAGGCCCTTCTGCTGTCCACTTCTCCCAGCTCCTCTACCACAAAACCTTTCCTGATTTTTTTTTTTTGCTAATATGATACACTTAGTAAATACATCATCTTTCTTCTCAAAAAGCCCAGAGCTCTCTCCAGCTGATCAATGACCATCTCTCAATATCTTGAAGGTTCCTCTTAAGCATAGCAACTCCCTGTTTCCTTTGGATTGCCACTCAAAGTCAAGAGCAAGGCTCTGTCCTAAAAAGACGTTCATACATCCCACCCAAATTCCCCTCCCCGCCCAAGGAAAGCCCTAGAGATGTAGTATATCCAGCTTGTTTATGCCAGAGTCAAGTATTTAACTTATCAACCTGTAAGCTAACTGGCTCAGTCCATCCAGAGTTCTTGTTACTCATAAAAATCTTTCGGATTCTGCTTTCTGTATAACAAGGACAGCTGGCCTAACTGTAGGGCTGAGGGAGGTATTGGTTTGAAAAAGGAGAACGGAGTTAGTGTCACTTATTGGACACTGTGTCACTGTCCTAGAGTAACCATGTACTTCAGCACTCTCGATCAAGAAATGCCCAGAATGAGTAAACTAAGGCTTCTGAATCAAGCAGTCCAGGCAGAACTGTTCACCCAGAAAATGGGCTCTTCTCCCTGCTGTCTGTGTTCACAGACTTGGGTCATTCCATCCTGGCAGATGCCAAAGGCTCAGGCTCAGAAACTAGACTGAGATGGAAGATGGAGAACATACATCCTTCAGGCTACCTTCTCAGCTACATCTGGGATCATGGCTACATCCCTCAGCAGTGCTTGGTCCACGCTGCCTTATCAGCTCAGAGGTTCTCCATGCACTCATCTCTTCCTACCACCTGCAAGACTGCTCTTTGCTCCTGAAGTGCGTTCTGAGCCAGTGTCCTCCCATCTCTTTAGTTGCCAGTTCACTTCCTCCAGGAAGCCATTCTGACGACAGGCAACAACTGGCTTCATTCAGTCTCAGCAAGTGAGTATCTTTCACGATTCTTCCTCCATAAACCACTACGGACATAGACACAGCATCACTCTCATCAGTTATCTAACTTCCATGTGATTGTGTCCTTCTATGACCTCCCAATATGGGATGTGACACCTTAACAGACTCAGGGAAGGGGCAACCTCAGGATCATATACCTGAATCAGGAGACAACAACCTTATAAAGGAAGAACCACTTTTGCTCTTCCTGAGACTTATAATTAACATGAGGTCAGAAGACTCACTGAGTGTGGAGCTGAACAGGAAGAAACTCCTGGGAGCCAGAATAAAGGACTGGGACAAGGGGAATCAGGAAACAGCAGCGAGAGCATCTCCCAGCACTGCCTGGTTAAGGACTTCTGGTCTTTACGACAAAGGAGTGGCCAAACCCTCAGGTAAGAGCACGGACTCTACAGTCAGACTGCCTCAGTCCAGTCTCAGCTCTGTCCCCACTAGCTGTCTGACCCTGGGCAAGTTCCTTAAGGTCTCATTCTCCTCATATACAATACAGGAATGACCGTAGCACTCTGATTTAGGTACTGTTAAGAGGATAAAATCAGTTAAACACTGGTATAGCACTTAGTACTATTTAAGTTTCTTTTCCAGGTTAAAAATGAGACTGGGAGAAGATGGATCATTTTAAAGTTCACATGTCCCATAACATCATTTTGACCAATCCATTTATTCTACTGTTCCTAAATAATCCTTTTACCTGAAATGTAATAAATCAAATTGAGTTCCAATTCATCTCCCTACCATGCCTATCCTCTAGGAGAGGCAACGCCCGCACACTAAAGTCAGTGAACAGTGAGGGGAGGGTAGAAAAGCACAAGGTCTGACGTTACCTGGAAAACAAAACTACACTCAAAGAGGCAGTCCTCAATATCAATATTTGCGTTTGCTTGAGCTTGATTTGGAAATTGCCTATCTCCCAGGAAGCAATATAGGGAAGAAATGGCTTCTGTCACAAAGCTTACCTGAAGGACAGTTTTCTTCTTTGTGGGTTCATCTTCCTCAGAATCTGACTAAGAGAAAAAGAAATAAAATAAGGCCTCGCTGTTTAAGGACAATAGGGAAAGCACTCATCTTAAATGAAGCAGAAATAAAGGCCTGGACAACAGTGGCTATCATCTTGTCTGGGCCCTTCCTCTGTATGAGGTATGTGTCTCCCAGGACCAGCCAAACAGCTTCAGAGAATGAGGTAGGCATTAACCTCCCCTGGTCACTCATTCTCAAACCCCCAGACCTGTTCCAGAGCCTTTTGCATCAATTTTGCCCTTTAAATTAAGACTACTTCCTCTCATTCAGTCCTTGGTGGAAAGAAAAAACTATACCCATTCTTCTTCCTATAAATCTGTCCACTAGAAGATGAATGGGATTTGGCCCACAATCTCACCCAATCTCAGCTTCACTTCTAAAACCACTTATATAGACTACATAACCACAGGGCCGGGGAACTCCTGTGGGATTAAGTGGTGTGTTAACTACTCTTCTATGAGACATTAAAGGTCAGAGCCATTGGAGAAATCCATTCCTCTCCAAGTATGATCTATTGTATAAGTATGCCAGACAGAGTCGTCCACGTCCAGGAAGAAGGCAAGCGAACGATGACTGTGAGAATTTGGGGCAAGAAGGGAGGTCCTCTGTGTCATCCCTCTGATTCATCAGGATTGTTTCTAAAACAAGCTCTCACACTGAAAAATGGCCCAACTTTTAGTTCAACATCAGCTCCTCAGCCATCTTCAACTATCAGAAAGATGCAAGCATATGAAAAGTAAGCTTTAACATTTTATTTTAAAAAATTAATATCCAAACTGAGAACCTTAAAAGTTTTCCATTTGTTGTTAAGACCCTGGTTTGGGGCACCTGTAAATAAAGGTGATTAGGCAGCATCTAAGATCCTTTCCATCCCCAAGATTTTAAACAACTCAAATTCTCTGCCTGTTTTTCTCAACTGAACTTCATATGTCACAGGTTCCCCATTGGATTCATCTGTTACAAGGACCTCTTGATCATCATTACTCAGAACCTACTGTATGCAAGACACTGTGCTAGGCGCTATCGACACAGCTCCAACTGGTGTCCTATGGCTGGGCTACAGGTACTGAGATGACATTCATCCACTCAGGCAACAGGACAGGACTCGCAGCAGGCAGAGTCCTGGCCCACTGATTTCCAGAGGCACAACCTAGACTACTTCCTCCACTGTGCTTCAAAGATTTTCTTGTATGCCAAGACATGGAAAAAGTCCCAGCCCTCAAGAAAGAAAGAAGAAAGTAAGAAAAAAGTAAGAAAGTAAGAAGAAAGTCAAGTACCTAAATAATTGTAATAAAAGCAGTTAAGAATAAGGGCATCAACTGTGACTCCAAAATCTCCTCAAAGAACTGGCTGAGCCTCCATTTGTACTTCTTTCACGTAAGTTCCCCACCTTATCACTCCTCCTTCAGGTTCCTGGATGACTGCCACCTCTCACTCTCCTGTCAGTCTGCACTCTGTACCTCCTAACCTGAAACTCTGAAGTCTTCCTAAAGAAGCTCACCTCGCTCTTTTTCACTGTGCCCCTATGTTATTTATTTGTCTGGGGTGGCATCAGGCTAACAATGATTCATTTGTGCTTGCTTTGTAAATGCTGCATTTTTCATGTGCATATACTTGCCTTACTAGAATTAACACCCAAAAAAGAAGTCCTTTTCATTATAGGGAACTGGAAAAAGTAGTAAGTTAACAGATACCTGGAGTAACAGGCAAATTTGACCTTGGAGCACAAAAGCAGGCCAAAGGCTAACAAAGTTTTGCCAAGAGAACCCATTGGTCATAGCAAACACCCTCTTTCAACAACACAAGAGAAGACTCTACACAGGGACGTCACCAGATGGTCAATACTGAAATCAGATTGATTATATTCTTTGCAGACAAAGATGGAGAAGCTCTATACAGACAGCAAAAATAAGACTGGGAGCTGACTGTGGCTCAGATCATGAACTCCTTCCTTAATGCAAAATTCAGACTTAAACTAAAGAAAGTAAGGAAAACCACTGAACCATTCAGGTATGACCTAAATCAAATACCTTATGATTATACAGAGGAAGTGACAGATAGACTCAAGTTATTAGATCTAATAGACAGAATGCCGGAAGAACTATGGATGGAGGTCCGTGACACTGTACAAGAGGCAGTGATCAAGACCATTCCCCAGAAAAAGAAAGGCAAAATGGTTGTCTGAGGAGGCCTTAGAAATAGCTGAGAAAAGAAGAGAAGCGAAAGGCAAAGGAGAAAAGGAAAGAAATACCCATTTGAATGAAGAGTTCCAAAGAATAGAAAGGAGAGAGAAGAAAGCCTTCTCGGTGATCATTGCAAAGAAATAGAGGAAAACAATAGAACAGGAATGATTAGAGATCTCAAGAAAATTAGAGATACCAAGGGAACATTTCATGGAAAGATGGGCACAATAAAGGACAGAAATGGTATAGACCTAACAGAAGCAGAAGATATTAAGAAGAGGTGGCAAGAAAACACAGAAGAACTGTACAAAAAAGATTTTCATGACTCAGATAACTATGATGGTATGATCACTCACGTAGAGCCAGACATTCTGGAATGCGAAGTCAAGTAAGCCTTAGGAAGGATCACTATGAACAAAGCTAGTGGAGGTGATGGAATTCCAGTTGAGCTATTTCAAATCCTAAAAGATGATGCTGTTTAAGTGTTGCACTCAATATGCCAGCAAATTTGGAAAACTCAGCAGTGGCCACAAGACTGGAAAAGGTCAGTTTTCATTCCAACCTCAAAGAAAAGCAATGCCAAAGAATGTTCAAACTATTGCACAATTGCACTCATCTCATACACTAGCAAAGTAATACTCAAACCAAGTGAGGCTTCAACTGTACGTGAATCAAGAACGTCCAGATGTTCAAGCTGGATTTAGAAAAGGCAGAGGAACCAGAGATCAAATTGCCAACATCCACTGGATCATCAAAAAAGCAAGAGAGTTCCAGAAAAACATCTACTTGTGCTTTACTGACTACGCCAAAGCCTTTGACTGTCTGGATCACAATAAACTGTGGAAACTTCTGGAAGAGATGGGAATACCAGACCACTTTACCTGCCTTCTGAGAAATCTGTATGCAGGTCAAGCAGCAAGTTAGAACCGGACATGGAACAACAGACAGTTGAAAAAGGAGTACAACAAGGTTGTATATTGTCACCCTGCTTGTTTAACTTATATACAGAGTACATCATGCAAAATGCTGGGCTGGATGAAGCACAAGCTGGAATCAAGACTGCAGGAAGAAATACCAGTAACTTCAGATATGCAGATGACACCACCCTTATGGCAGAAAGCGAAGAGGAACTAAAGAGGAGAGTGAGTGCTCGCTTCGGCAGCACATATACTAAAATTGGAACGATACAGAGATTAGCATGGCCCCTGCGCAAGGATGACACACAAATTCGTGAAGCGTTCCATATTTTTCAAAATAGCTTTAAATTTAAAAAAAATAAAATAAAATAAAGAGGAGAGTGAAAAAGTTGGCTTAAAACTCAACATTCAAAAACCTAAGATCGTGACATCCAGTCCCATCACTTCATGGCAAATAGATGGGGAAACAATGGAAACAGTGAGAGACTTTATTTTCTTGGGCTCCAAAATCCCTGCAGATGGTGACTGCAACCATGAAATTTAAAAGATGCTTGCTCCTTGGAAGAAAAGCTATGACCAACCTAGACAGCATTTTAGAAAGCAGAGACATTACTTTGCTGACAAAGGTCCATCTAGTCAAAGCTATGGTTTTTCCAGTAGTCATGTATGGATGTGAGAGCTGGACCATACAGAAAGCTAAGCACCAAAGAATTGATACTTTTGAACTGTGGTGTTGGAGAAGATTCTTGAGAGAGTTCCTTAGACTGCAAGGAGATCCAACCAGTTCATCCTAAAGGAAATCAGTCCAGAATATTCACTGGAAGAACTGATGCTGAAGATGAAGCTCTAATACTTTGGTCACCTGATGCAAAGAGATGACTCCTTAGAAAAGACACTAATGCTGGGAAAGAACGAAGGCAGGCGAAGGGGGCGACAGAGGATGAGACTGTTGGATGGCATCGCTGACTCAATGGACATGAGTTTGAGCAAGCTCCAGGAGTTGGTGATGGACAGGGAAACCTGGCATACTGCAGTCCATGGGGTTGCAAAGAGTCGGACATGACTAAGTGACTGAACTGAACTGATCCGTAAAAATGCAAAAAATGTATACTAACTAAAATTTTTAACAGAATTCAAGAATTATTATTCTCTCTGGTCTGCCAAGAGGTCAAACACATGGAAGAAAAGCTTTAAGCCCCAAACACCCAAGCATTTTTTACCTGTTCTCTCTGTTCCAAACTCCACTGCCTCAGGATTCACTGACTGTTTCCCTTTTCTCCCCCCTCACTCCTCCTCCCTTGTTTCTTGACTATGAAGACTTTCTCCTTTCCAGCAGACCACACAGAACTACCTCACCATGGGGTATACAAGGTTGTCATGAAGTCCCCAGGCACGTTTAAAGGTTAACATCTTAGGTAATATGTCCAATGGAAACAATCTGAAAAGAAAATGTTATCAAGTTTAAGACGATTACATTCATAAAACTGTACAAGCATATTTTGATTTTTCAGATCTGTGACAAACAAAAAGTGGCTACTCTGAAATTGTAGGCAAACTGTCCTATGGCTAATAGAATTGAAGGCCAGATCCGCTGGGGGAAGAAAATTCAATTTTTTCTTAAATGTCACAGACGGTTTCCATTATACTGTCAACCTGAGTTTAAAGCTTAAAAGCACACACACGAAAAACTGTACAAAGATTTTAGGAACACCTTATTAATTCCAGATTTAGAGGACTGCTACAGCTACTCACAATCATCCTTCTCTCTTTGAACATCTTGTACTAATCTACTGAGCCCCACTATCAATCATCTCATGATGGGCACAAATATGACTCCCTAAAACAGAACACAAAGACCCTCAAAAGACGTGCTGAACCCCTAAGCCC